GAAGGTGGCCGTTTGCAATTATGCTTGCCTGTACCTGGTCATTCTTCCCCACAGATCAGGCAAAGTGATTATCAATCAGTTCGAGAAGAGCTCCGTTAACTAACTTCATGGTCTTCATGACTCATTTGATCTTATTTCCCCAGTTGGGGTCGAAGCCAAGATTTCACTGCGGCATGTCACTGTCCACTTGACATTTGACGCCATAATCGCTCACCTCCTGTCGGGATGAAACAGACATACTATTTTCGATTATTTTCTGTTTTAAGCGATGAAGTCACTCGACTGAAATTGACTAATGATGGACAGTTGTCTTGGTCATCCTGAACATTTGTCAGTCTTGTGGCGGTTCCATCCTAGTACTTCGGAATGAGTGATTTCTGCGTAGTTTAGCGTCTCTCCACAGCTTCACGCACAAAAGACGCAGCCTCTTGCCGTGTCGTATTTTATTGCCAGCGTGCCTCCCCAAAATGAATATCTAATTCTATTTCCTACTTGCAACCTTTCTAATGATCCTAATATAATACATAATTTCAGTTACCATCCTCGGTCGCTCCTGCTGTCGCCTTCGGACTTTCCCAGCAACACACTGTTTCACTCTTCGCTTGTTATAATTTGATCCAACAACTTTTCTCCCAAGTTGGCTTCTTCTAGCACGTATTAACTAGCAGCCTTGATATTCACAATAAACAACGAAGTTTCTTCAGCTTGGCCACCTTCGCCTGTTTCTCAGTGAATCAAGTTTTACTAGCTCGCTATTTCACGACCCACCCTCTCATCAAGGGATACTCCCTGGTTCCTGTTTCTAAGACCTTATTAAGCGCCGTACAGGTATATACTTTCAAACAAGATATCATGTCACCTAATTCAGACCATCAATCTCGAAATCCTGCGAGCCAGGACTCAAGGCACCTCAAAAGCACTTTTGTCGTCAGTAACGTGCATTGTTCTTCCTGCATCGCATATATCACCGAAGTCCTCTCGGAACTGTCTGGCGTGTTTGGCGTCGATGTCACTATTCTCACTCATGAGGTGCGAGTCTCTCATGCGGCAGAGACCAGCCCTTCCATCGTAGCCAAGGCTTTGATTCAAGCTGCTTTCGAGGTCCATCATGTCACGACTTATGATGACAAAGGCATTGTTGTTTCTGACATTAGCACAACCTCGTGGCTTTCCAGAGACTCGGTCCTTTTTGCGACGCAGCAGGCTTCATTTTCTAGCCCGACGACGCGGAATAGACACCTTGCGAACTGCGATGCCTGCCGGAAAGAGGAATGGCAAGAAATATCCGAGGCGCGAGACCTGTCAGTGGCGACTCCTACTCGGTTAAGGAGAGAGAAGGTCAGTCAGGTATTTGGTGTCAGTGATGAGGTATCAGACATGGAGAGCTTGGTACCCCGAAAATCTGCGGGAAGTGCCAGTGTCAAATCTCTGCAACCGCATGGCGATAATGGAAAGTTCAATGCCCGTATAAGCATCGAGGGCATGAGCTGTGCATCATGTGTTAATACCATCACAAACGAAGTCAAGCAGCTCGATTTCATCGTGGATATCACTGTCAATCTTCTCACCAATAGCGCCACAGTCCTCTATACCGGTCCCCAGTCAAATATTGAAAATGTGATTGAGCATATCGAAGACATTGGATTTGAAGCCTCTCTCGATGAGGTACAACAAGTTGGTGTGGCTTCATCGCAGAGCCGAAATCTATCTTCTTATGTCGCCGAAATTGCCATCAGCGGCATGACGTGCGGTTCTTGTGCAGGGAGTGTCACGCGAGGACTCGAAGAACTCCCCTTTGTGACAAAAGTTTCAGTTAATCTCTTGTCACATAGCGGTAAGGTAGAGTTTGACGGACACGACCACATCGATGCCATTGTGGAGAAAATTGAAGATCTAGGATACGACGCCTCTGTCATCAGTGTCATACCCCAGGCTGGCGAAGGAGAAGATGACGAGGAGATTGAAAGAAGAACTGTGCCAATTCGAGTGGAGGGGATGTTCTGCCATCATTGCCCGGACAAGGTCCTTAACTCTTTGAAGGAGCTTTCTGATGTTGAAATTGACGGCACACCATCTGTCAAGAACCCCATTGTTAAAGTTACTTATACTCCACGCCCTCCTTCTCTTACCATCAGAACCATACTTCAGCGCATCGACGGAGTCCATGATGCTTTCCATGCCACTGTTTACCACCCGCCGAGCATAGAAGACCGATCGCGGGTAATACAGTTGCACGAGAGGCGTAGGCTACTGTCTCGTTTCCTCTTTGTTTTGATAGTGGCAATTCCAACCTTTCTGATCGGTATTGTGTTTATGAGCCTCGTGTCGCCGGACAACCAGACTCGTAAGTATTTAGAACAGCCAATGTGGGCTGGGAGTGTTTCTCGGATGGAATGGTCTCTTTTCATCATGACAACTCCTGTCATGCTCTACGGTACTGACTTGTTCCATGTGCGAGCTGCAAAGGAGATATACTCCCTTTGGCGCCCTGGAAGTCGTGTGCCTATTCTACGGAGGTTCTACCGTTTTGGTAGCATGAATCTCTTGATCTCCGCTGGAACTACTGTGGCCTACCTCTCCTCATTGGCTGTTCTCATAATTGATGCTGTCGTGGGAACTTCATCAATGAGCAGTAGCACGACATACTTTGACTCTGTGGTATTCCTTACATTGTTTATTCTGGCGGGTCGATTTATCGAAGCATACAGCAAAACGAAAACTGGAGATGCAGTTGCATCGCTTGGCAAGTTGAGGCCTTCCGAGGCATTGCTGATTGTCAATAACCGTGCTACCGAAAAAAATGATGTTGGAGCTATCTCTGGCGAAGATGAGATTCAGAGGATCAATATCGAGCTGCTGGACATCGGTGATATTGTTAGCATACCCCATGGAGCTTCACCCCCTGCTGATGGTGTGGTTGTCGACACCAACACTTATCAGTTCGACGAAAGCTCACTGACAGGAGAGTCACGCCCTGTGAAGAAGTCTGCTGGTGATCCCGTTTACACAGGGTCTGTGAATGTCGGTCAACCCGTGAAGATCAAGGTATCCGCTGTTGGGGGAGCATCGATGCTGGACCAAATCATCGCCGTGGTGCGTGAGGGCCAGAGCAGACGTGCTCCTTTGGAGAGGGTTGCGGACTTACTCACATCCCACTTTGTTCCCATAATAACGCTTATAGCTGTATTGACATTCGTCATCTGGCTTGTGCTGGGTGTTTCTGGCGCCTTGCCAGATGACTACCTTGATGTTCCGCATGGTGGCTGGGCCTTTTGGAGCTTGGAGTTTGCAATCGCTGTGTTCGTGGTTGCTTGCCCCTGCGGCCTGGCGCTTGCTGCTCCTACGGCGCTCTTTGTTGGTGGAGGCCTTGCTGCCCGACACGGTATACTGGTCAAAGGTGGGGGGGAAGCTTTCCAGGAAGCGAGTCGCCTTGACGCCATTGTATTCGATAAAACCGGTACCCTAACGGAAGGAGGAAGCTTGACAGTTTCTGACCATAAACCGCTCATTACGGGCTCTGAGGATTTGCAAGTAGCATGGTCGCTTGCTCGAAAATTGGAGGAAAGTAGCAATCACCCGATTGCTCATGCGGTTTCAGCCTTCTGCAACGATATGGAGTCAGCTAAAATACTTAGCTCTGATATCGAAGAGCGGCCCGGACAGGGAATGAAAGGCAAGTTCACTGTGTCTCTGGAGGACAAGACCGACCAATCGAAAGGAACAGCCCAGTACGAAGCAGCCATCGGCAATGAACGTCTCCTCCAAAGCTTGACCTCACCTCATTTCGATGACTCCCAACTTTCCGAATTTCTCTCAACCTACCAAGCATCAGGCAAATCTACTGCGATATTGTCATTGCGTAAGGTCAGCCCAGGGTCTTCAAATGACTCCTACTTCACCCCAGCAATCATCTTCGCAATTTCGGATTCAATCCGACCGGATGCTGCTCAAGCAATCGCACAACTCCAAAAGCGCAAAGTCGATGTATATATGTGCACAGGGGATAACCAGACCACCGCTCACGCCGTCGCCGACATGGTAGGCATCCCCCGATCCAACGTCATGGCCAATATCATGCCCGCAGGAAAAGCGGACTTCGTCCGTCAAGTCCAAGACGGCATATACCCCCCAAGATCCGACTCAGAAGCCGAGAGCCAGAAAAACGAGCAAGGCACACGGTCCATCGTAGCCTTCGTCGGTGACGGTGTGAATGACTCGCCTGCTCTCGCGGCTGCAGATGTCAGCATCGCTATGGCATCCGGCTCGGACGTCGCCATGAACTCTGCAAGCTTTATCCTCTTGAATTCTGAACTCGACACTATCCTCCAATTAGTTGTACTTAGTCGTCGGGTGTTCAACCGCGTCAAGATGAACTTCGGTTGGGCTGTTGTTTATAACCTCTGTCTTGTACCGGTTGCCGCCGGGGTGTTTTACCCTATTGTCAATGGCCATGAGATGAAAACCATCGGGGACGAGACCGTTATGGTTGATAAGCATTGGAGGCTGAGCCCCGTCTGGGCTGCGTTGGCGATGGCTTTGAGTAGTATCTCTGTGGTCTGCAGCAGTCTTGCTTTGGGGGTTGAAAAGAGGACTATTAAGCGACTCTTTGGTATGGATAAATGAACAATTGTCTATATGGGTATACTGGATCCACCGCAGTCTATGGGTGGTTTTGTGGCGTTGGGTGTTTTGTAATGTATGTCGGTCTATATGATGCAGGATTCGTTGATGGACGACTACGTTGTATGATTTCATGCCAATTGTGACAAAGGCATATTTCTCAATATTATTGCTCTTACGTTTTTCACTCTGACTTTGTTTTTCAGTATAGCTCATAATATCAGCACTAAACTATTATGCAGATACTCGCAGGCGACCTGAGTGCAACTTCGTAGAAGTTTGATAGTTACAAGGGTCAAGCATCAAGCTGATACCATACATAAAATCAAGAATATCTTGAAACTATCCACACCCCCTGACCGGGACAGCAATCTAAAGCATCAACCATCCTCCCCCCACACCTCAGCAATCTTTTTACTAAGCACCTTGGCCACCTTCTTCCTCCCCACCGCTGAAGACAGCCTATCAGATACCATAGCCTCCTTGCCCTTCTGGTCTAACGCCTCAAAGGCCTGTATAAAGGCCTGGGGAGTGGGCCACCGGCGTTGGATCTCAAGGGCCTTGTCGCCCGTCACCCCACGTGTGCACATGAGCATTTTCAGGAATACATCGCGGAGGGAGAGAGACTCTGATTTCGAAGCCAAGGCGGCAAATGTGGGGAAGGTCACAGCGTATGTAACAGAGGGGGTCTCAGCTCGAAGTTGCGTAAGAGCATTGAGATATGATTGCGAGGAAGACAGCTGGCGACTAGGTATTAAGCTGAGGGTATGAGATGGAGGCCCATCTTGTGAATCAGGGGCAGCGTCCTGGGTATACATTTTCCGGAGAAGAAAGGTCATACGGGCCAGATAGCGAATGGTATCGTCCAGGTTCTTAGTTTTCTTGACGAAGTAGCCGTTCACGACCTGTGTGGAGGCGATAGCAGACGCGACCATTTCCTGATATTTTGTTGCGATGGCGCAGTTAACATCGTAGCTGATGGCGGATTCCTCGATGAGATAGATGACGTTTTTCATCCCCGACCGATGGAGACGGAACTTTTGCTCGTGGAATCGGCCGTCTTTGATGGAGCAGAGGAGATCGTCGAGCCGTTTTCGCTCGACGATGTAGTCCAGCATGACCTCGTCGCCTTCGTCGCCGTACTGCGAGAGGAATTTCGGGTCGTGGAATTTGGCTACCCACATTGCGTCGCCGAGCTCTAGTGCGCGCACTTGTGCGCTGATGCCCTTTTTGCTGAGCTCGTTAGAGATGTAGTCTCTGTCCCTCTGGGTTCGGACTTCTCGGTTGTCCAGGACCAGCTGGACGGTGAAGCTGTTGGGGGGTAGGGTGATGGGTGTTACTGTGGTGTCGTCGGTGTCGTTTCCTTGGTTTATTGGAGGGTTGAGGAGTGCTTCGAGGTCTTCATTGCTTTCTTGATGGTGAGATCCGGGGCCACTTTTCTTGGGGTCTTGGGCACCGGATGTGTCCTGGGTATGTCAGACTCCTGGTATACATAATTAAGGTATTGGTACCTTACCGGTTGATTTCCAAAGAACAAGGTGGTTTGGTTTTCAGGAAGGGTTTTTCTGATCCGCTTTGCAACTTCCCATCCTTCTTCTGTAAGAGCGTACTTTTTCAAGGGACGGCCGTGCTCATAAACTAGGTCTTTCTGGAGGAGTGTTTTCATTGAGCTCCACGCGGTAAAGAACTTGCCTGGGTCGCTTGGTGCCGTAAATGAGCTGTCACAATATGGCTCTGCCCTTTCAATCAATTGTGCTTTTGTTAAGCCCTGAGAGGAATTTTCGCCGAGAGTGGCCAGACCTAGCAGAAGTGCGTAAGGTCCGGACCGTAATGCTGGCACATAAGGTCTTGCTTTCCGGGGCTTTTTCGCCGGTTGGATCTCTGATGCACCTTCGTCTGACTGTCTCTTACCATTTGCTGCAGTTGCTGTTAAAGGAAACCCGTGGAGTGCATATCAGAGATAGGAAACGCACAATTGTTGGGAAGCTCAGGCATTGGAAGGCCATTCTCCGCACAGTGAGCCGCTAATTTCTCAGTTAATCGGTCACATAATTTAGGGCCAAGGCCATTGAGCTGCAGGGCCTCGGACGGATGTTGAAAGACTAAGGGGCATGCTTTCATCGACTCGTAGGCCTTTTTGTATCTGAGCAGAGCGTATCAGCAGTGGACTCATCAAGCGAAACGCGGTTATACCGACACAGTCTTTCCTTTACTGTTACGTTCCTTTGCTTGGTCCAGCCATTCTTTAATCCACCCCAAGAAAAGGGGGTTCGCACATGTTTCGCTCATAGTTCCTGGACTGGCTGGACGCTAAGCGATGCAGATGTGGTTCGGTGCTTTCTACGCCAAAGTGGCACCTGAGATAGCAGCTAAGAAAAGGATACCAATGCATGCATCTTCAGCACTGAGAAACTATCACACTGTCATGCTTTGCCTTCCAAAATGGAGGCAGTAGTGCGTTGGGGGAAAGATGAACACAACGCGCTTCGATTTCACGCGTACTTCCATTTTGGGATTTAAGTGTGGCTTGCAAATGGATTTATGTGGCGGTGCAATGCCGTCGTCCTACATAGCTGCCTGATATATATGGCATTAAATGACATCAGATAATAGATTAACTTGAACCATGCATTAGACTCCACTTATGGAGAAATTGCTACATAAAGAGTGATACTACTAGTAATTACTCTGTGCCATGCAGCAGGACCCAGTCTGCCAAAGTCCCGCAGATCGCGAGGGCGCTTAAAAGAAAGGATGACGTCATTCTCACGGCATCGGATCTATAGATCATGACTGACTTACATAGCATCCATGCTGCCTTCTCTTTTTTTAGCATTGACCTTTCATACAATTGATGATTAGCACCATACAATATGTCAGGACAAAGTTTCACCGACTCCCTGCCAGCCCCTACAGCCGGCTGGGACAATGGCCCGTCAAAACTTGAATTGAAAGAGAGAGAGAAACAAAGCCAGCTTGAAGCATTTGGGCCTACAGATAGTCATGCCCTTTCCCAGATCGATCACGATGAAAAGGGCCTGGCCCAGAAAGCCGGCGATACCGACGAGGTGACAGATTTGGGATGGCAACACTCCCCTCAAGGCCGAATCGTGGCAGGCCTATCGAATGAGGACCTTTGGATGCTCATCAGACGGTTCAACAAGGTATGCTATTTGGTACTACTTGATATTCCAGTATTGACATAGGCCAGCAAATATACTATGTGAAAGCCGTGCCAGATGCCCCGTTACAAAGGTTGGATCTCAATCGTGCTGAAGATGAGCATTTCTCCCCAGATAAATTGCGGGCGACCCTTGAGCGTTTCTATACGACAATTGTTGTGTCGTTGGCTGCATTCTACAAGCATATTGTCAGGTTACGCTCGTGGAGGGAGCCTCGGCGGACAGGGATGTTTTGCGGAGTATGCTTTTCTCTAAATTGTACGTGACTGCTTTCTGGAGGTTGACGGTGTGCGGTTTTAGGTATATTTTCTTGCGTGGCTCCTGGATTTCCTAGTGCCTACAATTTTATGCTTTCTGATTGCACTGGTAATTTACCCTCCATGCAGAACATGGCTGTTCCCACCTGCTCCTATTGCTCTCGTTGATAGCAATACCGGAGGTGTACAGAAGCCCAAAGCTGGTGTGCTAGGCTCTCATGATAGTGTCACCGGCGCACCGGAGAAAATGAAGGGTGAGGCTGCTGAGCAAGAGGCCAGTAACTTAATCACAAGCGCAGCCACTGTGGCGGTGGGAAGTGTTACTGGTAAACATGACCAGGGGACACCTGAAGGTGCTCCCATGGAGGACTCAGTTCCTGATGCCATGCACGCTGTCTCGGAAGCAGCAGATGCACAAACAGCAGCCCACGGGGGAGTACCAGATAGTACTCACGATAAGACAAGGGAGCCCATGAAGGAGACAGTACTCAACGGCGCAAATCTAGGCATGCGTATACTGAGTGATATCACTGATATTTATGAGAAGCTTGGGAAGTAAGTCTAGTCCGCTACAAAGCTGAGCGGAGTGTATCTCTAACGTGGGACTGATAGTGCCCTGTCACCAACCCCTCCATTTTCATCTACTACCCCATATGTCCGGTTGGCAAGCATTTTATCTCTTGGGTTACTTGGGTCATTTGTTACCTCAAGCTACGTGTTTGTCAAAATGGGTACTTTCGTGGTGGGGTTTGGTTTCTTCGGAGACCCCGTTTTTGCTCGTATTACTGCGTACATGAATCGCAAATACCCAGGCTGGATCAAGCTTCTTGAATTGCAAAAGTAAGTTCCTCAAGGAGCCGAACTGACTACCACTTTTTGCTAATCATTTCACCAGCTCCCTCCTAAAAGGAATCCCTACAAACGCCCAGCTAACTTTAACCCTCCTCCGTATCGGCGAAACAAATGCTGCCCCCTTGCCGCCACCACCTTCTGACGCACTACAAAAAGCACCGTCTGCCCCTACATCGCTCAACCCCAGCCAAGTCAACTTGGATGCGTCAGAAGAAGAAATAGCCCAAGCAGTTGCACCAGAACCCATAAAGGAAGAGGAAAAGTCCCAAGCAAACAGACGCAAGAAAACAATAGGTTCCCGCATTGTCGGCTTCTTCCGAGGAACAACTGCAACGGGCATCGAAAGCAAACTTGCAGTTGACCGGGTCCGGGCAGCTGCAGGATCCGAGCACGCTAAATCTCGACTTGGAATTCTCAGCAGGAAGGGCAAAAGGGCGTTGCCTTTGGGACCGGTCCAGTTTGACGCTCGCTACAAAGGCAGTCGAGGAGCTGTGGTGATTGACTCGGCTCGTGACCCGCCAGTGTTGTATTTTACGACAGATCCGGATGCCCTGTTAGGCGACCAGAGGCTTGAGAGTAGGGAAAAGGGAACCGTATCCTTCAGTATGCCCGTAACTGATATTAGGGAGTTGCGGAAGATTGGGGGATTTGGATGGAAGGGGAAACTGGCTGCCGGATGGGCGATGGGAAGTAAAGAGGTGGTTGATGGATTGGAGATTGTTGGGAAGGATCCAAAGAAACAACATTATCAACTTACTGCTATGAAGACGAGGAACCAGTTGTTCAATCGCTTGGTGGCGATTGACGGACAGGTTTGGGAAAGTTATTGATCAGTATAGAACATATGCTAAGATAGTCTCAGGTCTGGAAGTAATCGAAGAGCAAATGGGCCAATGGGCCTCGGAACTGCCCTGCGTATTCTGTGGACATGCGGTGGATCTGTATATGATAAATGTTTCATTGCTCTAATTATGTTTCTATAGCAAGTGCACTGCATCGGATAAAATACCATGAACGTCATATGAATTTCAACATCCTCCACGAAAAGATTTCATTACTGGTTTGTTTCCAGCTGATAGTCCCTAACGGCTTGTTCAAATGACGAGTCGCGCTTAAAGCCCAATGAGATGGCCTGCTTGTTGTCGAATCGCGTGGGCCATGACTCTAGGATTGGCCTGAGACTGGGATCCTCCTTCTCTTTCAACAACGCGAGTTTGTCCTGCCCTCCCACTTTTTCCAGAGCATCCATCATTTCCTGAATTGTAACGCAGATACCCGGTACATTGATCTGGCGGATATGGGGAGGAACCGCATCAGCCGGTAATGAGAGCATGAGGACTAGGTTATAGACGAGAGTGCGCGGAGAGCAAAGCCAGGATTTGAACGATCGGTCTTCAAGCGGAATGATGCACTCCTCTCCATTCAAAGGCTCCCGGATCATTCCCGAGAGGAACGAAGAGGCCGCAGCCGTGGGACGACCAGGTCGAACGGATATCGTTGGGAAGCGAAGGGTGAAACCAGTGATGAAGCCACGTCTTGTGTATTCGTTGATGAGCGTCTCACAGATGATCTTCTCGGCACCATAGGATGACTGGGGGGTGGGAATGATACTATCATCCACCACTTCGGGAAGAGGCTGGCCGTAGACAGCCTGGCTGGAGGAGTATATCACCCGGACACCGGGACAGGTCTTGCGAAGCGCTTCCAGTAGGACACGAGTGGCGTCAACATTGACGCTCATGCCGAGATCGAAGTTGGCTTCAGAGCCGGACGACATGATACCGTGGAAGGCATAGACAGCGTCCAGAGACTTGTCCACGACAGTATCTGCACCTTTAAGGAGGTCTGCGGTGATACTGCGTGCATTTTGGGGGTATTTGACACCCTTCGGAATGGGTGATTCGTTGATATCAGTCAATACCACTTGGTGAGAGGGGTCGTTGAGCAGCTCTTTTGCGAGCAATTGGCCGATGAAGCCTGCAGCGCCGGTGATAAGGATTTGCATAGTGATTTAATTTGTTCAGAAAAACTTGAGAAAAGAGTGAACAAAATTGTACCTACCCAGGTTCCGAGCGAATTGGTTCATATAGGGCAATGTCATCATTCGTCTTCGGTGGGGTTCGGACTGACCTCCACAGTCGCATCAAGTCCGAGGTTCAGGAACAGCTCTCTCCACAGCCGGACTTGCGCCGGGCTGTTAAAGACCGCAGTAAGGATGGAATTCCAGGAACTTCACGAACAGTACCTTATCTTCATGATTTTGATGTGCAGCTAGTTTAGTGCTAGAGCTCCAAGTCGCAGATTTGCGTAGCTTCGCGCTCGTGCGCACACAGTGTAACAAACCACCCGGGCACGCAGATTAGCATCCACCCAGGTGAGGAACGGAGAAAAGACAAATAATAATCTACAAAAAATGTGGTTCGAAAAGATTTTACTAAGAAATTGACCCTAACGATTGATTGTTCTATGAGTATTTGACCACTGGGCATGTTAACGGTTCCTTTCCCCGGACTTTCCCCAGATTTAGCTGCCCCATATGTCAACTCTGTCGTATTCTTGGCTAGAAAAGACTGCAGAGCCATACTACCAATTCTAGTCGCATTACAGCTGGAAGTCAATAGAGATCCCGGAGGACTTGTTCATGGAATATGTCAAGAAGAAGATTGTCATTTCTGATAAGAATGAGAAGCAATGGGAGATCGAGCGCCCCCACGCGCACTTCGAAGCGGGGTATCCAACCTCGCTTTCTCCCACGGGAAACAGTCACACCACTTTTCCTCCTTTTCTTATCTTCAGGGGGATTGGGCTTTGCACAGTACGGCGTATTTTGGCTCCAATTTCTAGATGTATGTCGTTGGACATCCAATTGAATCATGAATATACGATTAGCGACAATTCCACCTTACAATAATTAGCACAATCGCTCCTTTCCCGCCGATCTCAGTCGTCGTCGCATGCCGACTGCATAATGCCGGAGCATCCCCGACCAGTCCTGTTCACTCTTAGTCACAACTACCAATTTACCATTTATCAGCTATGAAGCGCTCGTCCTCTGATGCGGGCCTGGTGTCGCCCCGACGAGAAGATCGCCATCCCTCCACTGTCCCCGACGGACGACCTCCACCACCGAAGATCTCCAAAGCCCGCGCCTGTGAGTGTTCCCGTTGAACCACTGAAGGGACGATCTATAATGAGACAGAGCGGAAAAGTCGCTTGAGGCCTAGGGAGAGGGGATGCATACTAAAACACAATGGATTTCAGGTGCGGAGTGCAAACGTCATAAGATACGCTGTGAGTTCAAATCGGGGGAAACGAGCTGCAATAAGTGCATACGCAGCGGCATAAAATGTGTCGTCAATGACTTCTCGCAGAAGTTTGTTGACGATGATGGCATGTGAGTCGATTTCACGCCTAGAAAACGATGTACTGCTGAGTTCTTGTTCTTATCTTTGCGTCAGATGGAAATCCCAGGCTGCAGCCACCATCCAGCAGCTCCAGGCAGCTGTTTCGCATCTCCTTCGCCATGATGGGCTACCTGAGCTTTCATCGTATGCAACAGGCGATACGCAAAATGGTCCAAGTCCTGTCGCGTCCCACCATGAACATAGATCCTCGCTCGATGGGTCGCAGTCGATCTCTAATCACACGAGTCAACACGGCCCGGGTGTCATTATGGATGTAACTCGGGAGCCTTCCCAAGAGCCAGATCTACAAGACCGAGAATTGGTGCCGGCACCAATGCGTAGTCTTTATGAAGTCACTAAGCTGCGTAACTTACGGAGCAACCTCATCGAACAACCTAAATTAACCTTGCTAGAGGAAGACTTCATCTCACGGGGAGTCCTCTCTATTCATGAGGCTGAAGAACTGTTTGCATATTTTAGTCGGACCATGAATCAGCTCCTTTGGGGAGGGATCATCTTGGTGCACCGGGACCTCACGTCAGTGCGACGAGCATCGACTTTGTTGTCTGCGGCAGTCCTCACTGTCGCTGCACTTCATATCCCCAATCGTACTGAAACTCTAAACCGATGCTACCATGAATATGTATCTCTTGTATCCAGCATGTCCCTGACGCGGGCTCACACGTTAGATGATGTTCGTGGCCTCTGTGTGGGAGCATTTTGGCTATCAGAATTGAGCTGGAAGCTCTCTGGACACGCCGTTCGTATTGCCACGGAGCTTGGTTTGCATCAGAGCTATCAAAAAATGATCCGGGGCCATAGTGACCAGTACGAGCGCGCGCAGCTCTGGTATCTACTCTATGTCTGCGACCATCATTTTAGTATTGCGTATGGCCGACCTCCTGTCATACATGAGGATGCAGCCATCAAGAACTATGAGACCTTCCTGCAATCTCCCATGGTTGTACCTGGTGATATCCGACTGCTGGCACAGGTGGCTTTGTTCATGATCCTGACAGAGGCGTATCGGATGTTTGGGAGCGACACCGAGCAGGCTTTGACCGAGGAAGACTTCGGCCAATTACGAGTCTACAATGTGGCGGTTGATCAATGGCGGCTTCTTTGGCAGCCGCGATCAGGTAAGTTATGTCAAACTCCCATCATCAAGACGCCAATATCTGACCGCCACTTGTACTTCAGCCGATAGCCCTTACGTACGGACGTACCCTTCGAAGGGAGTTGTGCTGCACTATCATTTTGCCAAATTCCAATTAAACTCACTCTCCCTTCGTGCCCTGTCGCCGTCCAACACACCCGTTTTCTCCATGGACCGCAAAGAGTCCGCTAATATCGCTATCTCGTCCGCCATGGCCTGTCTAAATATGGTGCTCGAAGAGCCGGACATTCGGGACGCCATCGTGGGCGTTCCCATTTTTACGCATACGATGGTCACTTTTTCAGCAGTGTTCCTTCTAAAGGTCGCGGTCAACTGGAATTCGGCCTATCTGAGTCTGGATGGACGCGAGGTGCGACGGTTAGTGGAACGCGTCATCGAGCTGTTGAACTGTGTTTCTGCAGGAGAGAGGCATCTGACGAGGCATATTGCGCGTGGCTTGGGGAAGATGCTGGATCGCTTTGATTCCTGGGAGACGGCGTGGCAAGGTGGACCGCCAGTGGGAGGACCGGCGGATCGAAGTAGTAGTGAAGTCCCAGGCGGTGCGAATGCCATGGCACAAGGATTCCCCCCACCAGATCTGATCTACGACATGGTGGGCACATACGGATTTGGACTGGATGAAAATTTGCTGGACCCAAGCATGGCCAACTTTGAGTTTTTGGCGCATTGATAGAGTAGTTTGTGGATAGTTGATACCCTGGGTAGAGGGAAACGTACATAGCTATATACTAATGTATCCGTATATACTCCTGCTAGGCGTGCTCCTTCTTAGCTCGTGGTATTATGCTTTGTCAGGACTGGGATAACTAGTCTGTGTTTATTTGTTGATGCGCGCGAATCATCCGGGGGAATTCATAAATAGTAGCAATTTCATCCGTGCACCAGACACTGTGCCCGAAGGGGACTAGCTCCGGAGGTGCCATGTTTGGGGTTAGTCCATTTTGAGCATGAGAAGAAATTCAATTCCTGACATCATGGTTGCTATCGCGGCTAATGCGACCATATTGCCACGGGCTGGATGCTCCGAACACACTCGGTACCTGTAATACTAGTATGTCACCGACCAACAGTTCGGTTCATCCGGACATGGATTGCGTGGTTACAGTATCACATTACGAAACATTCCTCACTTTGCCCTTTCGATTGAGATTGATCCGTCATCTTACCGTCACTTTTGCAACAGACTGACTCCGTCTTACTCCAGATTCCCTTGGTCTTTAGTTCGCGAACAAAGCCCAGGGGTCCCTGGAGCTGCAGGGGTCCGTTGAGATGTCGACTCCGCCACAGGAACAAGGTCCAATCCTGTTTCAAACACCAGATCGGTGCAGCTCTCGTCACAAGGGGTCATGTGTTATGCGCACCTCCGCGACGGCCTACAGCGACGGCCTCCGATAATCTCCCATTGCGACAAATGCGGGAGCTCTCGCTCTCAGGTTCACTTTAACTCTGCTGGGCCTTTTGCCCAGGTCCAGGTTTCTGCTGACCGGAAGCTTTGGCTGCTTTCCCCCCCTCCTTCTCTCACCCTCCTTTCCTCCAATCGCTGAAGTAAGAGGCCTACTGCTCACCCATTCCGTCCCTTCCCCCCCCCTTCCCTCGCCGACTGAGGCTTTAATCTCCCTGCTGCTGCCGTGGGTAGTACTTGACTCCCCCATCTGCTCTCTCTTTTATTTCGCCCTCTCCCTCCCTCTCCTCCCATTTTCCTTTCTCTCCCTCTCTCCTACCTATCCTCCTCCCCTTCTCGCTACCTTATTTCCTCTCGATTCTCACAGCGCAACCGCTGTGTTATCAGAATATACACGCGCCATTGACTAGCCTTCTATCACAAATTCACATTTCATCTCTTCCATCCATTTCCAATCTACTTAGTTCCTAAGACATCATGTCCACCCGTAAGAGAAAGCAAGAAGCCGAAGAAGAGGAAGAGCTCCAGGCGCTCCCTAGCGATGAGAGCGAGGAGGAAGAAGAGTAAGTTGCACTGCGCTTCTATCCCTTTATCTATGCGCATCCGCGCATCCATCAACGCGCGTTCTCCTCACCATCCTTGTCATCCTATCATCATTCAACTCTTGGTCGCCTTTGGTGCGCCGCATGGATATCCATCATCCCGTCTGTTTTGGATTTCTGTCCGTCGAACGGTCTGGCTTGGCGTATTAATCCTGTTGCCTGTGATGCATTCGTTGTGTTTATCATATCTATCCCTGCATTGAGAGATAGCGTATCGACTAACGGTAGTGATGAACAGGTATGAGGACTCGGAAGTAGGCGAGAGCGAAGGAGAAGAAGAAGAAGGAAGTGAAGAGGAGATTCCTTCCGATGAAGAAGAGGAAGAGGAAGAAGAAGAACCTGCTGAAGACCAAGGTAAGCGCACGTCTATTCCCTATCTCTCTGAATTACTCGACCTCCTTCCGATCTTCACCTTCCTACACCTAGATACACTATTCTCCAGAAAACACAAGCTGACATGCAGAATCTTTAGGCCCCCCTGCTCCCAAGAAACGCAAGACAGCAGCCGCTCCAGCTGAAGACGAAGAAGGTGAGGAAGAAGTAAAAGCAAACGGCAAAGAGGCCGGTGAAAACGGAGTCGGAGAGGACGACGAAGAAGAAGAGGAAGAAGATGAAGGTGAAGAAGAAGCGCCCGAGGAGACAGCCAAAACCAGTGGCCCTGCTTCCTCTGCAGCCAAGACCAAGGGTGACACTGTTCCGAAGGAACCTGAAGTCGACACTGGAGTCGAAGAGGAGAACGAGTGAATGTCCCTTGGTTTGGGGAGCTGTAATCTTTACGTCAAATAATTTGGTTCCGGCTGTAATTGGACTTGGGTACGGTGTTGGCTAGCTTATATCTATTCAATGAAATTGGTCGGTCAATAGTGCCGTCCTTCTATTATAAGATGCGCTCTTTAATATCTCTTCTATAATGGATTAAATGGCCGACAACTTAGCCTTCGAGGGTTCTAAATGTGCTCAACTAGACTTGCTCCCTTTGGGAACAGAGAAATAGAACTTGTAAACCCCCAACTACCACGATTTTTCGTCGCCTATGGGCATGATTTAGGGCAATATATGTGATACGAGGAGGCAAACAGCAGGGCGGGCGACTTAAAAGGCACCGGAAAAGAAAAGTCATACAGCATAAATTGGTTCTATGGGAATTAGTTCTCCAAACAGGGTGTCCGACGTAAGGAAAATGAATGATAAAATAAAGACACAGAAGAAAAGGGGAAAGGGGGAGGCCACGTAAGAGGGAAGACATCATGATAATCAATAACTATCCGCCAACGATGCCTTGCCTGTATACGTAAATATAATTCCGCTAACTAAAGACTTCATTGCTGGTGGGTAGCTATCCACTAAGATATACGGGTCATATTTAGCCATCGCTGCCGCTGCTACGGAAGGTGGCGCACAGTTGGCAATACTGATGGGTGAGGTCAAGTACGGGCTGTGGCAGATTGGTCGCCTGGACAATGCTGCGCACCTTGACGGCACCTTCGTCCTCGATGAGTTTGCGGATAAGATAGAGTAGTTCAGGAGAAAACTTGTGTTTGGTTAGTTGATGGCCTTCGGCGGAGTGTTATTGGAAGTAAACATACCTCTGAGTACCAGCGGTACTGCCAGGCAATAAGTCGAATTAGTGCACCTAGCATCCCTCTCGTATCGTGCTTACTCTCGTACAACTTCAGAATGCCTCGCATGGCCTTGGGAGAGAACCGGATGGCCATACAGTGTTGGTAGGCCTCGATCGCCTCGTCAAAATGATGCAGTCGCTCTGCTAATTCGCCCAGGATTTCCCATTCCGTCGCAGACTTCTTGTATTCAATGGCCTGCTGGCGGTACTGGGCCATCTCTGTGCGCCAGATGGTGTAAATGCGAAGATCCTCGTAGAGAACCATGAAGAGATTGTCGAGCCACCTTTCACAGAGACGCTTGTTGCGGAACTCTGAGTATGACGAATGCGAAGGGTCGGGCTGTGGCGATTAGTATAAGATTACATGCTGCTGGCAGACGGCGTTTGTAACTTACTTCTTCCTTACCAGACTTCACGACCTCGGAGGCCATCGTCTGTTCTGGCTTCTCGATAGAGTCTCCTGCTTGCTCCTCTTTGTTTTCGCTGGGGCCAGCTTCCGGATTCTCATCCTCTTCATCAGCGTTGGTGCCATTTTGTTGTTCTTCGTTACCATTGGTCGCTATAGAACTGCTGCGCCGTATAGACTTAGAGGTTGAATGCTGCCGTTCGACCCGATACTCCTCTTCCATAACAAACACTTCACTGCGAATCTTCAGAAGCTGATCCCAGCCGATCGCGGCAGCAATCTTGGTTAACAGGTTATATGCTTTCAGGAATGTCCCCTGGTATGCGGCAGCGTGCAGTCTTCGTAGAGAAGGATGGACATAGTCGTGTGGGTCCCCCTGCTTTGGTTGGCCCTCATCAATCTCATCCAACATGCTCTCTGCGAGGATAGGAAGCATGATGCGTGACGGCTGGGGCATGCGAGGGGTGTCTTTATCCTGGTACGTAAACATCGGGCATGAATTCAATGTAAGGAGTGCGAGGTCCCATTGTTCCAAGTTCACATACACTTCGGCCAGTCGTGCCCAAGTGCTGAACTCGCTGGGCGCAGCAGTCACAGCCCGCTTCGCGCATTCCAAAGCCATTTCCCCCTCTCCCTTACTCTGGCAGAAGGCTGCCTGGCAGTCGAGCAATGCATAGTCCATGGGGACGTCCTGCAGTGAGTCGTACATCAACCGTACTGCTTGCACCTCCTCATCTGCCATTATGAGAACCCGGGCTAGCAGGGAAGAGACCTCAACATCCCGTATACGGAGCTTTTCTAGAAGATTTATGCCAGATGTGTAGCGTCCCGTTGTGCGAATATATTTCAAAAGGCCCGCAGTAAGATGATTGCTGACGGTGTTGGGAACTTGTGTCTCAGGATCGGAGCTCAGCTGCCTACCTATTATTGCATTGTTAGTATAAGCGCGCATCGAAATCATCGTGTACCATACCCAAGAAGAAAAGCCGCTCCGCAGCATCCATGAACTTGTGCTCCATCTCTGTATTTGTGACTGGGTTGAATCGACGCACTCCGACGATCTTTCGAATCGAATCTCCACTACCGTCGTCCGCATAGGTATAGGCTCGCAAGACTCCGCATAGAAATGTCTCTAACCACAGAGCTTCAGTTGCAACACGTTTGTCCCCGCGCTCGTCGATGCAGTAGCTCTCGAGACTACCGGGAATTTTGACTTCGACACGCATGTCAAGGTGGGAGAAGGCATTGTAGCAACTGTAAATCTGTTAACACCTCTAACTGTATGGAAGTCGTTTTTGCAAGTGCCCTGACCAGTATATCCCTGAAACCACTTTGTGCGTCTTATCGAGGGGGGAGAAGGTGAGCGTATTTACATAGGCGGCCAAGCTAGCGGACGATGAAGCATCAATGCCAGTGACATGGTGATAGACTCCGGTCTGTGAGAATCGTCTTCCGTTAATAATTGTCATCACTCAACCTCCGAGAAAGCCGTTCGTTGAATGAGCGACCGGAGGCTCCCAGAAACGCACCTGACGGGTCGAATTGGTCTTGGGTTGTTTGACCAAATACACCAGGTCTGGCGGACCTAATTCGCGCAAGTTCTGTAGGGATTCGGTACGTGCATCGACAGCGGCGAAGAGGTCTTCCTCTTCGTAGAGTCTGACAGCGATTTCAAGGGTCAGCGCCAAAGTCAATGGTGGCCCGAATGCAGTTGATAACAGGTCTCAGGAACACACAAAGCGAGGGGAAATGCATACTCGGGGACAGCTGGCGCAACCATGGCGCATGGAAAAGCGCAGGCCGAACTTAAATCAAGAGAAAAAGCAGAAAGCACCAAGTACTACAACGGACTCATCAATCGTGCTTGAAGGACAGATGGCGCAGGAACAAACAAGTCGTCGTCACCTCAGTTGATTAGTGCCTGGGGGTGGACGGGCTGGGTCCTCAGGCACCGGTCTATTCCTCTTTGGGTAATTCAATGTCGGAACGCGTGAAATGCGTGTCCCCAGTCACGGGCTAGACCCGGACAGCTTGGATTCTATCCTGCTTTACCTTTTCCTCCCCACGGCTTAGTCTTATCAAATATAGGGACTGGCTTCCCTTTTCGGGAGATGCTGTCGAGACTGTTACCGATGTCTGGATTCTCCCTGCAGCCTGAATAAACTGCAACATGTCAAGCTGGGCCGCATTGAACATCGAGCCCGCCGAGGCGGTAGAAGAAGAGGTTGATGACACTAAGGAAATCCAAATTGAGGAAGCTCTCAAGCTATACCAAAATGCCCTGAAGCTTCACTCACAGGGTCCCCACTTCTACGCTCAAGCGGCGGAAGCATATGATGCTCTTCTTAGTTCGGAAATATTCAAGTACCCGGAGTCTCTCTCCGACTACAAAAGAGCTGCAACCGAGCTTGAATTGGCGGAAACATCCGACTATGTTGGTAATGCAGACGGTGGTGGACCGCTAGCAGACTACGATATCAATGATTCCACATCCAGTACTTTGCTGCAGACCATCTATCTTGCGTATAAAAACCACGGGCAGTTCGTACTAGATTCTTTGCGCGCCATTATAGAGAATGCTGCCCAGGCGTCAGACGCCACTCAAGATCTCTCGGCTGAAATTGCTGAGCGTGCGAACACTGCCCTGACGTCCTTCGCTGAAGCCCTGGAACGTGATGACACAGACCTTAACCTTTGGAGACAAAGCGCCAGGCTTTGCAGTACTTTACAAAGCTATCGCTTAGTCCGCTACTGCTTGGAAAGTGTCCTGGCAGATGATGAAAATCGCCTGGAGGTCCGAACGGAACAGCTAGGCTTGGAGGAAACTTTTGCAGAAGAGCGTCTTCGGGAAACGTTGCTGTCGCTGCAAGATAGAATATCGGTTTGCCAAGTCCCGATTAAGAAACCCAAGAAAGCCCTTCTCAAATTTCTCAAGCGCCAAAGTGACCCTTACCCGTATCTGCCTGGATTACCCAACAACCTTCAGGATGTCCTTCCGTCGAAAAGCCCCCTAGCTTTAAGCGCCACACGACATGATCTGAAGCCTCTTTCACCAACATGGGCCGATCTTGGCAAGACCATCCTTCAAGCGTTAACGGATGAGGAGCAGGGCACTATTGATGTAAGCCCTGGTACTGCAGTCTGCGTTTCAATACCAGCTCTTAGCCCCGAGCTGAAAGCTACGGCGACCAAAGAAACACAGATTCAAGATCAGCCATTAAAGGCACAGGATGAAGAGGTTCAAAGTAGCCAGAAGCAAACCATCCACATGTCGGGGGAAGATAGCACCATGGACGTTCATCCATCTGTGAAACATGAAGCGCTGGACTCAACTGCAGAACACGCGGATGACCACTCATCTATTGATCAACGGGCTGAAAAGCAACTTATAGAATCATTGGAGATCCAGACGTCACAATCTCCCGAGATATCTAATCAACAGGAAACTCCAAATGCCGACGATCCTGACCCTAAATCATCGACCAATGGGGCACGAAAGCGATCTTCTGCATCAGCCGTCGCCGAGGATCAGACTGAAAGCGTTCGATCCAAGAGCAGAAGGACCCGTCTGCGAGAGTCACACGCAGAGGCTTCATTACAAGCTGATGAAGTCTCGTTTGACCATAACAAATACTATGAAGACCGTCTAGAGGCTTTCATTAGAGCGGACGAATGGGTGTTCGGTACGGTTGAGTCTCTGTTGACCAAGTTCGGGATTGAAGACTTAGGGTCAGTTGATGAGCTGAGGAAACAAATTTCCCCTACTACCGATGGGAAAGACCTTCCAGATAGTGAAATCAATGGGAAGGCTGAGTACATACTGCCT